AATAATTTTTTATTTTTTTATTTTTTCTATTTTTTATCCCATTTGGATGATGCAATGTAAATTTGGTTTCACCTAAATTGGACTGGTTTTTTTACCCAGTCCACTATTTTTTTTGATTTGATGGTTTAACAGAAGTGTACCAACTTGTGAGAAAAGCTTCCATATGTTATCATGTTATTCCTACAAGAAGGTAAAAATTACACATATGGGGAAGACACTTAATTATTTAGCTTTTGTGGCATGGTACACTCATTTATTCCTTTGCATTTAATATGAAAATATGAATTATTATTGTACCCAGAGGAGTAAATGACAAATCCAACCCTCCACATTTTGCTCAGTTTTGGCAGTCCATTGAATCTTGGATTCTAGAACTTATGTGCGAAACAAATTTTCATGCTTATGATTTGGATTTATTATTATCTCAGGTTTATTTAAAGACAATTAATTATTATATGTCAAATACAAACTCTTGTTTGAAATGGTTTAAGCGTGAGGATTGACACATCACACTATTTTAATAAAAATATATACATATTAAGGATATGAAATATCATGCTTTTATTTATACTGTTTTTAGAATACAATTTTTTACTATGTAACTATGCATATCTTTTAAGAAGTTATAACACCTAAGTGTTAGACCTACCTAACAATAATTAATTTAAGCCCTATACCCGGTCATATTCAGATTAAAAAGTGTGTACACACTTGAGTATGGATGAATGTCAAATGTCACACTTCTTGAAAAATTGGTCATGTGAATTTTAAATGATACTTTAAGTTAATAAAAATAACCATGGATGAATTATATAAATGCCATAATTTATATATGAGATTTGGAGTTGACAATTCAGGTTTCGCTTGAATATGTACCAAATCCTAGATTCGGTCTGAAAATTTCACATATATATAATTTTTTAAAAAAAAGTAAAATTTTACATGTGACTAAACAAAGCAAAATGAGTTTACCATATAGAAAATGTCCACCTACTCACGATAGGCATATACGTATCAAACCTTTGTAATCATTAAACATCATATCCAATATTTATTGTATGATATATACTAATTTTAAGCAAAATCAACTGATGGACATATTATTTATTCGAAAATGGAAATTGTGTAAATTTTATCCTTTCATATACTCTACAATATGTATTAAGAACAGCCATAAGAAAATAAAATGACAAAAAAAAAACAAGTCTTNGCCTAGAATGGAAGTTGGGGTTTTGTGTGAACGCCTTCTAAAAGAGGCAGTCTGGACTAAGTGAGAAGGCCGTCATCCTCTCTTAAATGCCTCGCTTCTCAAATGTCACATCCAACATTCAATTGGAATCCAACTCTTAAGTGACTCAAATACAATATTAACGATACTCGATCCTGATCACATTAAAAAATGTATGTAAAATATTATAAAGCTTATATATAGATATTATATTTAATATTATAAATTAAAAAATGAGTATACCAATTTTGTAAATATGACTTTTAGCAGAAATGAGCATTATTTTATAAATTATTTTATTTATATATAAATAACTACGAGCACGTTTGTTATGGCGAACGAGACAAGATAACTTTTTTCATGTTTATCAAGATTGTATTGTAGAGATATGATGCACACTTTAGTTTGTTTTGTATGATTGCCACACGATAATATTTTTTGGATATAATGTGTTATATACATTGTTGTCTTAGACAAATGATAGAATAAATAGTAAATTTACCAATTTGTCCTTTAATTAAACTAACAATCTAATATAATTTTGCCTCTACGTTGTCTAAATATGAAACTTCATTACTAGCATCACATTCAGCATCATAAAATAAACATTATTCTTTTCTTTCCCTTTTTGAAATTCCAACCAATAACATTAAATTTTTACAAAACTTACACATATCAGTTGATGTCTACATTCAAGTGGCCGACGTATTAACCAAAGCGCGCTAAAACTAGAAATACAAAAATGAACAATGCTGTAAAATAGACTAACTACCTAAACAAAAAGTTGAATTTGGCATCTATTGATTCTTTTATATCTTCAGAGTGGAAGAAGAGAAACTGGAAGAAGAGGAGCGTTGATCTTGGTAAGAAGCTCTAAGTATAAATAGAAACATCTCCACCAACATTGCGCTAACCAATTCGAGAATGCCACCAACATCATTCTAAAAATCAAACAGGACCAGCATCAATTTATCGATAAATTAGAGTCTACGTTGTTGATATCACTTAGACGCCAATTCAATCGAATCTTCGGCGTTTGGCTCGGTGGTGTCGAGATCCTCCAAGTTCCCAATGCATATTTATTTATTTATAATAAATAATTATAATTATTATTTTAGCAATAGATCATACATAAAGTTGACAACATTTATTTCTAAATAATTAATGTAGCTTTAGAGGAATATTTTTTTTCTCCTAGACTCCTAGCTACTTCATTTTTATCTATATATAGATAATTTCTGTTTAACTGAAAATAATTTACATGAAAAACTTTTATCACATACATGTGAAATACTTTCAAAGCTGTTGTATAATAAATTCATACTAAATCAAGAACAAAAATGCTATGGTCCCAAATGATCATGCAGTGGTGGACTAATTGCTACCAAGCCAACAGGGGAATCTCCTACATGTGGAGTAATATTCAATTTTACTTGTTAGTATATATGCCATATAATCAAATAAAATAAAATGAAAGTTGAAAAAGAAATAAGTCGTAATAAATATCTTTGGGAAGCCACATTGACTTTTAATCTCCACTTTCTGAGCCATTTGTGGTAATGCCAATGTTGTCAAATAGCTTAACATTTTTTTAGCATCTCAAGAACATCACAAAATATTGCCTTTGTGTTTCTAAAACGCGAAATAAGTCAGTCTTATTATAATTACTAGTATTATTATTATTATTATTATTATTATTTTTTTTTTTTTT